ATAAATGTTACATTATATTCAGGGCAACAAGAATGATAGCTACTTCTCATAAGAAACAATAGAAGTCAGTAGTCAGTACAATTGTACCTTTAAAATGCTAAAAGGAAAAAAAAAAATCAATTTAGAATTTTTTGAATATTTTTTGAATATCAAAATATCTTTTGATGAAGCCAAAATACAAACATTTTTTTCAGACAACTGAAGCTGAAAGAATCAGTTACCAGTAGATCTGTATTACATGAAATTCTAAAAGAAGTTTTTTGGGCTGAAGGTAAATGATCCCAGATAAAAATTTGGATTTGAAGAAGGATGATGGACATCAGAAATGTTAAGTAATGTGGGTAGATATAAAAGAGTATTTTTTGTCTTAAATTCTTTTAACGTGAGGCCACTTTTAAGACCTTCAGAGATCTCAAGAATTGGGAAGATTATGGTACTCCTGCCCAAATGTAATTCACAATTAAACCTAAAATAAACTAAAAGTAAAAGGAAGCTTCTTACTCCCCCCCCCCGCTTTTAATTTTGGTGTCTCCATTTGCTAGTGCCCTGAACATATACTTGGTGTCAAATAATAAAGAGAGGCTAGGGTGACCCAACAATTCTGGGATTTCAGAGCTAAAACTGGGACAGTTCTGGGTAAACTGTGATGGTTGGTCATCTTAACTAGGACCTAAAATAAGGCCCTGAGGAGAGAGAGGGCCCTGAGAGTAGCAGTCAGTGCAGTTTTGCTGGCGGCAAGAAAAACGGCCATAAAGTGTATGACAATTCCTGTCTTCTCGAAACTAGACTTGCCCTTTAACTGAAGCAAAAATTCTTATTTCTCCCTCTTCCATCCCTTGTATCTTGTGTTTAATACTTCAAAGACATTATGTCCCCCTGGGAGTTGGGACATCATGAAGCAGAAACAAAAAGCAAGAACAGCACTTCTGCGTGGCAGGTGAGGGATGACAGTTCACCAAAGTGGCTCACAGACCTCTTCTCCTACGGGACATGACTCACTGACACTCCACCCACTTGGCAAGGAGGGGAAGAGGGAAAGGAATTAAGAGTGCCTACTGTTTTCCTCTAGGGCAAACCTCCCCACCACCCGGTTAGGTAAGAATTAACCTGATGTTACTTAGTAGCAGATCCAGGATTTCATTCCATGGCTATCTTGCTCCAAAGTCTGTGCCTGATGCCTGTACACAGCCCTACGACCCGAGCGTAAATATCGATAGGCGTATGTGGGAAATGTGAGGGAAGATGCAGAGAAGAAAAAAATGAGCTGGTGACCACAAACCAGAATAGAAAGAAAGGCCACAAAACTGCAGAGCCTCCTGGGTGGGGACTGGCACTTCTCTTTTCTCTTGGAGAGAATTTACAAATTTGATAAAAACTGAGATGTGTGGGAACTTAGATTGATCCATGTGCCAAATACATGAGATGTCTTGAAAACGGTGCTGTGGGAGGTTAGAGAAGAGAGGGAGAAGGAAAACTAGTAAAAGTATCAAACATCTAACAGCTTCTCTTTAGGACTATAACCTCAGCCCCTCAGGATACTTCTGGGCTGACCCCATCTTTTATCAGTGTGCTCTGGGAAAGTATATAAAATGTTTAAATGTTAATTGCTAAATGAAATCTACTAAAAAGAAGGCAAATTGGCTAGAAAAACATACCAGAAGCCAGGTGTCATGGTTTTCAGGTGGTATAATGGAAGATCATACAGTCTGAAGTCATACAATTCAGGCTTCTGTTCCACCACTTACTTGTTGGGTGACCCTGAGCAATTGACTTAACCTTTACACATCTCAGTTTCCCGATATGTATGCAAGATGGAAATAGTTAATACTTACCTTGTAGGTCTGTACAGAAAGCTCTTAGTCTCCTCATCTATTAAATAGGGATAATAATGGTAAACCTCTCTCACTGAGTTGTTGGGGGAATTAAATGAGTTTACATATGTGAAGTACTTAGAATTATGTGTTGAATAAGGGTGAGTTATTATTATTAATAAACAAGCTAATACATTATCTTTATAGCATGTGTCACTTTCTGAAATTATCTTGTTTTGTTTTTAAGCTGCATGAGCCAGGGGACTTTGTGCCTAGTTCACCTCAGCATCTAGAATAGTACCTGGCACACAACAGACTTGATGGCTCCCTTCTCCGCTATATAAATACAATTAGTCTTTCAAGATCGCCAATGACTTCCATGATGCCAAATCTGAAAGACAATCCATTCTCCATTCAGCACTCAGGGTGAGCTCTTTAAATTAGTTTATCACTCCCCTGCTTAAAGTTCTTCAATGGATATCCTTGCATTTAGAATAAAATCTAAACTCCTTTCCATAGTTTACAAAATCCTGTATGATGGTGGTGGTGGTGGGGGGGTTCAATCTCACTGTACCATTCTCTATGTACCAGTCTCACTGGCTTTCTGTTAGTTCCTAAATTATGCCAAGCTCTTTTCAGCCTCGGGGCCTTTGCATCTGATGCTCTCTCTGCCTGGAATACTCTTCTCCAAGTTCCTTACATGGCTGGCTACTCAGTATAGTATAGCAGTTAGGAACACGGATTCTGAAACCATACTGCTTGGGTTCTAATTCTGACTCTCCCACTTACTACCTGTGTGACAGTGGCAAGTTACTTAACCTCTCTGTGCCTCAGTTGCCTCACCTTAAAATCGGAATAACAATAGTATGTACCTCACTGGGTAACTCATTAACTAAATGAGATAATATAAAGTATCTAGAACAGTGCCTGGTACTTGTTAAGCACCACTATGGTCATGATCTTTTAGGTGTCAGCTTAAACATTGCCTCCTGAGAGCCTGTTCTTTATCATAGCACCAAGTACTCACCACAGTCTGTAATTATTTTATTTTTTGTTTACTTGATGTCCAAACAGAATTTGTGCTCCATAAAGACAGGTTATCTTATGCATCTTACTTACTATTATAGGCTCAGCATCCAGCACAATGTCTGATACAGAGTAGGTGTTCCTCTGCTCATACTGCCTTTGCTTAGTTGGAGTTCCATAGCACTCAGTATACATTGCATAGCCAACCCTTGTTTTTATGTTTCTGCACTTTTGTTTCTTCCCATGTCTGGCTTAGCTTTTGCTCTTAAAAGTTTTGCTTTTCTTCATTTTTCCTGAGCTCTCTGCCCACTGATGGGCCCACAATATATGCTCAGTACAAGCTTGAGGAGTGATCGTACTTGCTGCCTTTCAAGAACGACGGCCCAGAGCAGCTCTACATTCTGCACACACTTTTACGAAGGAAGAGACATTGATTCTGTAGGAGACAGTGAGGTCAGCTGGCTGTTCTCTTACCTGATCTGCTGTGGTTGGTGGCGGCAAAGCTGCAGAGAGCGAGAGCATCCGTAGGGAGGCCTCCAACTGCTGTGGAGGCAAAAAGAAGTTGGGTACCACAATGGGCTCTGGGCTATAATAGTCGTTAAGGGACAAATACACCCAGAATTCTACCCTCCTCCCAGGTCAGTGTTTCCACTGACCTCAGTCATCCCCATTCACGTTTCTTTTCCCGATTATTTCTGTTCATGAATCCTTTGCTCACATGGTTCCTACCTGGAAACTCCCACCCACTCCTAACAAATCATACTCTATTATGGATCAGTTCAAATCTTGCCTCCTCCAGGAAGCCACCTCCTAATCTTAGCCCACAATGATCTCTCCTTCCTCATATCCTAGAGCATGATCTGCAACACTGAATAATGCTGGATTATTTAGTCTGACATGATTCTCTGTTTTCCCCCAAATTCCCTAAGCTTCTCAGATGGCAAAGATGGTGTAGTTTCCATCAGTTACCTCACTACTCTCCCTTCCCTACAGCCCCTCATGAGGCAGGTAGGCAGCAAGTGTTGAATAATACTTGCTTATGGCCTGCTGGCCAGAAACTGACTTGTTGTAAGTCAATCAGACAGTGTACAGTGGAAGGGTGGCTCCAGCGGCTGTGTCTTAGGTTGGAGGGAGATGCCTGACACTGAAGGAGGGAGGGCTTGTCCTACTGGTAGTTCTCTGTCCACACGCAGAAATGAGAGCTGTGCATAAGGGGATTAGAATAGAAATGCTTGTGGACACAGCTGATCCACCCAATTTGGATATGAGTTCTAGAAGGCAGGTACCATATCTTGCACTTCTCCTCTGTATCCTCCCTGAGCTGCTCCACAAATTTGTTGAATCAAAGCACTGATTCAGTTTGGCTGAACTTCAGAGGGGAAGGATTATTTTGATGTTCCATTTTTTTGTTCCTATTCAATAATTTAAGGAGGCCTGGTTGCACAGTGGTTAACTGTTGGGCTGCTAACCAAAAGGTCGGGGGTTTGAATCCACCAGCCACTCCACGGGAGAAAGATGTGGCAGTCTGCTTCCATAAGGAGTTACAGCCTTGGAAACCGTATGGGGCAGTTCTACTCTGTCCTACAGGGTCACTATGAGTTAGAATCAACTCAGTAGCAGTGGGTTTGGTTTTGGGTTGGGTTCAATAATTTTAGAAAACAGCTGAGTGTGATTCCTATTCAAATCAAGTTTTCTATTTTATTATCTTTCTTTCATGCTAGACTTTGAACTCCAAGGAGGCAGAGGCTATCTGTCACATTCATAGATCTATTTCTGTCACCTAGAACCTAGCATAGTACATGGAACACAGTAAGTGCTCTATAAACATCTACTTAATGAATGAAATGCATCTATTCCTTGCTTTGGTTTAAGCCCCTAACTTTTCTATAGAGGTGGGGGTGGAGTTTGAGATCCTGAAGGGAAAGAACCTTGCCCTTTGATTGCAAGCCATCTTGAGGCCCCAGGTGAGGCAGGGTGTATTAGCTGATGCTGTGGGGAAGGCACAGCTCTGCTGTGAGGTGTCAGGGATATGTCTGAAGCACTGAAACTTTACTCAGCTCTCTCTCCATCTTTAAGCTCTTCTCAGCTTATGACAATGCTCAACTCTTCCATTTAGGGGAACAAAAAAAAAAAAAACAAAAAACAATCCTGACCTTGCACCCTCTACTAGTTACCACTAAGATCTGTCACTTGCTAGACGAATAACTTCAGGAGAGTTCACTTTTTGTGTCTCAAAGTTTCTTTGTAAGATAGATACAGTAATAGTTTATATTGTTTAGATAGATACAGTAATAGTTTATATTGTTTCGAGGATTAAATGAGTTTATACATGTAAAGTGCTTAGAATGGTGAGCACGCAATAAATGTGACAGCTCTTCCACTGATCATACCTTCTGAGTACATCCAAACTGACTGTAATGGCAGCAATGTCAGAAGCCAAGACAGAACTCCAGAGGAGGCAGTCTGCTTTCAGTGCTGTCTTCAGCTGTTTGACGCTATAAGCCCTTCCTGAGCCCATACCCCCTACCCTCAGGTTTCTCTGTCTTGCATCAACAATCACATCTGAACGGTGTTTTTGTTTCTATTCATTTGATTTTTTTTCAAGAATCCGGTGAGACTGTGATAGCTCAATATGCACTTACTGATCATTTTTCTATGCAACGTCTGGTACTGGGGCCACAGAAAAAAAGACAAGAACCCTGATCTGGGGAGCTTAAAGTCTGGAGGGTAAAGGATTAGTGCCTGCATTTTATAGGCGAACAAACCGAGGCTCAGAGAGATTAAACTATATGCCTGAAGTCACATAAGTAATAAATAGTTGGATCTACAAGAGTCTAGAAGACAGACCCTTGACTTCTAGTAGAGAAAAGAGCTCTATTCTGTAAAGCAGGATGCTTTACCTAACAGCAATAACCTTGCTTGCTGGGATGCCAGGTGAGCTGATCTGAGCAGCTGATTAGGCTATAGTGGTGATGGCTGTTGATGGTCCTAAGTGTCTTCCTTTCCCTCTAACATGCCAGAATGCATTTTAAGGACGGAGGGGGGATTACCAGATGCCCCTTCACTCCACTGACAATGCCATACTAGGGGCTTGGGTAAGTCCATCTCAATAGTGTCCACTTCCCCTTGACTCCATCACTTGCTATATATAATTAAAAAAAAAATAAGATCTTAGGCAAGTCATTATATAACTCTGAGCCTCAGTTTCTTCCCCTACAAAACAGAAATATCTACCATAAAGATGTGCTGTGATGATTGAGTAAAACATGTATGTAAGTGCCTGGCACAGAGTAAATCCTCAATCAATGGTGGTGCTCTTCCTTCCCCCTCTCTATGTCCTCCACTTCTATTTTAACTGCGATGAATGGTCTCATCCCTTAGATCAAGAGCCTTGCCTTCAGGTGGCAAAATACCCCACAGATTAATCAGATAAATCTAGCTAAACTGGGTTAATGAATATGCTACCAACACCTAAACTCAATAAAAGGTATTATGCTTCTGAAGGTTGGTGTTAATGGTACAATTGTAAGCACCTTGTCAGTGCATGAACGAGCCTTGGTGGCGCGGTGGTTAAGCACTAGGCTGCTAACCCAGAGGTCGGCAGTTGGAGCCCACCAGCTGCTCCACAGGAGAAGGATGTGGCAGTGTGCTTCCATAAAGATTACAGCCTTGGAAACTATGGAGCAGCTCTACTCTGTCCTATACAGGTGCTATGAGTTGGAATCAACTCGACAGGCAGTGAGCTTGGCTTTGTCAGTGCAGGTGAGTCTTTCGAAGGAAGGTGTTCCCGTGCCCCTCAGCACATTACATGAGGGTGGCCACTGCCCATGCTCATGCTGAGTTAGCCTAAGCACCAGAATTCAAAATGCCTAGAGACGGCTTGCAGAGCCACTGTAGGAAACACCAAAGGATACAGAAGGAGGTTCTGCCTTGTGGACACCTCAGATTCAGTTGTCACTTGCTTCTGCTTGATGTCAGGGCCGTTGATGGGTGGCCCCTTATGGTTTTCTCTTCTGGTTTGGGAGGCTAGGTATACAGAGAGCTTCTCGAAGCTATCAGTAGAGTCACTTAGCTCACTGGAGGCAGCCTCATTCTCAGTCTGAGGGTCTGGTTTGGGCTCCATTTCCTCACCTGTCCTTGATGAACTCCATTCAACAAAGGTGTTGCTCTGTTGGGTTCCTGAGAGTGTCAAGCGTGGGATAAGCTGAGGGTTTGCTGAGGCAGGCTCTTTAGCCCTGGCCTTAGACGTGCCACCCTCACAAGGAACACGACTTTGGCTAGGAGAACCCTGTCTAGGCAGGTGGGGGTTAACAGCTCTTTCCGGGCTGGAGAGAAAGCTACTTTTGACCTGGAGCTCCTCCCTGGGGGAAGGCTCTGAAGGACAAGAGGGACTTTCTCTCTGTACCTCATTAGGCTGAAGACTGATGACCTCACTTGTGTCTGACACAAAACTGGACCAAGGGCTAGTTTTGTCCGTCACAGTGGTGATCTCATTTAGAGTCCTGGGTTCAATGATGTCTTCTTCATAGTCCTCATCACTGTAGGCCAGGCCTGCCTCAGTGTCCTCACTGTTCTGCATCCTTGTAAACACCAATGACTCAGCATCATTTTTGGATGCTGTATGTCCCAGAGCCTTATGGAGCATTCTCCTCCCACCTGAAGTCTCTTCAACAGTATGGGGAGGTAAGGAATTTGTGCCCCCATCTGGAGCTCTTGCCAATGGGTGGTCTGGAGTTCTGCTTCGTTCTCGTATGGCCTCTGTGTCCTGAGCATCTGGGAGGGTGGTGACCTCTTTGCTTCTACTTCTGGCTCGGTGAGAACTCAGAGATGCTTGAGAATTCCTGGTGATAGTCTGCAGATCTGAACAGCAACATATATCACTCTTACTACAAGGCAGGGCCACAGATCACTCAAGTTTCCCACACTATCCTCTAGCTTCAGAAACATTCTTGCAATCAGACTTTGAACAAACTTTAAAGATAGTTAATCCACCCAAGAGTCAGTGAAACTATATTCAAGGCAGTACAATTTCTAGCACTTTATTCTAATATCAGAGGACCAAAATCTAATCTATTTATAATTGTGGATACATCTGTGGAAACGCTTTCAGAGACTATCTGCTCATACTCAGGAATTCTCAGGAGCTGGGAGTCCTGGCGGGCATGTTCACGCTTCCATTTACTTCAGTAATTACCTATATTAAAAATCAAAATGAGAACACACTTATTTACCTATTCGATAACAATTATTAAAACTATTTTACTTGGAAAATAAAAGCAAGGAAATATCTATCACCCAAATGATAAAGGCAGGGGAGGTTTACAGAGAAAATGGAGGCAGCATGCTGTGTTGGAAAGAACATATGCTTTGAAGTAGGTCAATCCTGGGTTCAAATCCCTACTTCACTTGTTAACTATGTGGTTATGAACATGCTACCTCTCTAAGCCTGCTTATCTTTAAAATGTGATTAACACCACCCATATTCTATGGTAAAGAATATGTAAAACAAATGGGCACACAATATGCGGCACATACATAGGTACTTAAATGGAAGTTGCTAGTCACCTCAAATTATTTTTGGGATGAAATGAGAGGGAGTAAATTAATAAATGGGCCTAGTAAATGATACATGTTTATATGATTATTTGAGAAGAAAAAGGAATTAGGAGACAAATTTGACTCCTGGGAGGCAGGGGTTACATCTTCCTCACAGCACCTACAGACGTGCTGGCTGAGTTTAATACACTGACAATTTTCAGACCTCAAAGGGGAGTGACTAGATATTTCAAAATGGAATATTTCTACCTGCAAATAGGAACAGAATCCAGGAAGTGACTTATTGATACTGATCCTTTGGCCTGAACTACTTTCTCTGTCTTGGAAAAGTCTTCCTGCCTTTTACAAACCAACTCATCCTTCAAGGCCCTGCTCAACTGCACCTCCTCCAGGAAGCCTTCCCAACTGCACCAGCTGGATGGGATTGCTATAGGGCTTTGTTCTATAAGAAAGCACTTAAGAACATGCTACTGTGTAATAGTCTCTCTGCTTCTCTGTGAAACTCTGAGCTTCTCAAAGGTAGGGACCATATGTCTGATTCATGTTGTGCTTCTAGGGCCCAGCAAAGGGTCTAGCACACAGATGTTGCATAAATGAAACCCTCACTCAATGACTCACTCTCAAGCTTCACTTGTGTCCACTTCTTTCACAGCATCTTCAAGAAGTTGTACTGAGGCATGGTGGGGGCAGAGGGTATTTTTTTATTTTTTAATACTCACTTCCCTAATCCAATCATATCTCCCTTTCCAAAGTCATCCTGTTCTTGTGAAGAGCGGTTCTCATTCTATCATCCGCTTGCTCAGACTCACCATTTTCTTCCAGGATAAGGATTAAACTCCCAGGCTTGGCCTCAAGGCTCTCCAGCTTCAATCCTTTAATTCTTTTCTCTCTCCTTTCTAATATATCTCTTTAAAGGGACCCATCATTTGCTCCCGCCTTTACTGTAAACAAGCCTCTCTCTGTTTTGCTCTTATACTTCCTTTCTGGGGGGAATTTTGTAGGACTGACTTGATGGTAGGCAGACACAATGCCTGTACTGTCCACCACTGTATCCTCCCACAACTAGTAACAGCATAACGTTTGGCATAGTTGGTGCTCCATAAATAGTTGACTGAATATCTTCAAGCAAGTGGAAGCCAAACACAGAGTATACATCTGGGGCCCTGGATACCAACAGGTTAGGTATCTGGGTAGAAAGAAGGTTTGTATCAATCATGGCATTTCCCTCCAACTCCCCCCCACCCCCATCTTTAAACAGAGAAAACTGAACTTATTCATCCCTGTGTGGAATCTACACATTTTGCTAGAAAGCCAAGTAAGTGCTAAAAATGTTGATCTGGTTGATTTCACAATCTTCCCTAAAGCTTGTCTGATACAGGTTTCCAGTTTTCACCCTGGATTCTGATTCAGTAGGATAGAGCAGGGCCCAGGAATCTGTATTTTAAAATAACTGCCCCAGGTAATTGTTATACTCAGACAAATTTGGGAAGCACCATACTTGTTCTAGAGTGGTCTCAGCCTTGGTTGCACACTGGAATTACCTGGAGATACAAAAACATACCTATGCTTGGTCCCACCCCCAGGGATTCTGATGCATGATCTATGGTGCTGTCTGGGTATCTGGATTTTTAAAAGCTTCCTAAATTCCAATATGCAGCCAAAATGAGAACCACTGATCTAATGTGTTTTTCAAAGACTGGACTCTGGAACCGCCAACATCCAAAATCATCTGGGGATTCTTGTTAAAAATGCAGATTTCTGGGTTCTACAGAATAAGTATTTTAAATACATTTGTAGTTGATTTTTTGAAAACAGAGGGTACCAGTTCATGAACTGATATTGAAGAACCACTCATCTACCATTAATTTTCACCCCTCTTTTTTTGGCTGGGGAAAACGAAGCTCAAGAAGGGAGAGGATATGCTCAAAGTCAAATAGCAAGTTCATGCCAGGAATCACCCAAGGACCTAGGTCTCCTGCCTCTCAGTCCAACGCTCTTTCCATTGCCCCATCTTCCTGTGCCATACTACTATGACCCTCCTGTTAAAAGCCTTTGGTCTCTATTTGTCACAGGGGCTTGTCTGAGGACAGACATCCATTTGAATGGGCATCAAATGACCTCAGTAAGAAGGGTCCTGAGTCATACCTGTGATTAAGGAGCTGACTTGCAACACCAGGTTATTCGATTTCTCCAGAATGCACTGGCTCTCAGGGTCCAGGCTGCTGGCTCCTTGCCCAGTATGGTCCCTATGGCTCTCCTGGCACTGCAAGATAGTGGTCTGAGTCTGAGGGCTGAGGGGTAGGAAAGGCTTGGTGAGCTTCTGGCTGAAGTACTGCTGGATCTGATCTAGTTCACTCAGATTCCTCCTGTAAGAAAAGAGGGAAAAAGAGCACAAAAGGATCATTCACTAGGGTTACAAGCATCTTTTATGTCTCCCTGACATTCTACCACTTGAGCTGGGGCCTTAATACCTCTCAATTAGTCTACTGATACCAGGGTCCCCTATCTCCAATCCACCAATTAATCCTTCACTCCTCTACCTACAACCTACTGCCAGGGACAGCTTTCTCCCCACTCTATCTAGCTAACGCGGTTATTCTTCTGATGTCCAGCAAAAATGCCACCTCCTTTTACGGAACCATTCTTGATAAGCATTCCCAGTCCTCACTTCCCCTTATTCTGACAGAATGTGGTCCCACCTTAGGGTAACATTGTCCTTTGCTACCTCATAACCATTCCTGATCCTTGAAGCAAGTGACCCCTTCTAGCAAGCCTTCCCTGACGCTATAAAATGGTTTAGGGGCCTCTCCTCTGGGCTTCACAGTTCTTTCTATACTCTTCAGTCATATCAGTTTTTTATCTGTCTCCCCTGATATACTGTGAGCTCTGGGCAGATTCCTTTGTATCTACTGTACCCAGCAGTGTTTGGCACAAAGTAAATGAATGTTAAATGGATAAATGGACAAAAACATTTAATGGGGTTACATTTATTCTTACCACTCTCCAGTGACACTACCACCTTCAGTTACTTAGAATTGTATAATTTATGCTTTCATAGACATGATTTTGTTTAATTCTCAGCCAACCACATGAGATCAGTAATTTTTTTTTCATTGTACTTTAAAGTTTACAGAACAAATTAGCTTCTCACTAAAAAGTTAGTACACATAACAACCCTATGACATGTCAGTACTCTCTCTTCTAGACCTTGGGTTCCCTATTACCAGCTTTCTTGTCCCCTCCTGCCTTCTAGTCCTTGCCCCTGGGCTAATGCGCCCCTTTAGTCTCGTTTTGTCCTATGGGTCTGTCTAATCTTTGGCTACAAGGTGAACCTCTGGAGTGACTTCACCACTGAGCTAAAAGGGTGTCTGGGGGCCATACTCTCAGGGTTTCTCTAGTCTCTGTCAGGCCAGAAAGTCTTTTTTTTTTTTT